ATTCTTAGGCTACTAGTAATCGACCATAGGTATCTTCGACACATTGTGTGTATATCCTGAATCCAGGGAGTAAACAATGCTGGTGCTAGGAAACGGGTACTAGTTAAGGATGGTATGTCAATTCATAGAGTAGTGAATCTTGATTAGCTGAGGTGGTTGGGACGTGTTACATATGCCTAACCACCGACTACCTCGATGAGCGATGTCTTGTGATGAAGGAGTAGGCTGGAAGAAATCTAGGAGCAACCAAATCAAAACATGGCACAAATCCATCAAGTCACTGACAAGTGGACTGAACCATGTTATTAGATTTAGGCTACCTAGTTGGGGTCCATGGGACGATAGTAACCATTTGTTAAAGACGTTAAATGACGTCGGTCAAAATCATGTCCATTAGTGCAGGTGCATCCATTCTTTGTGTTCTCTCTAATTCTAACCTTCTGAATTCCTCATCACCTTTATCCTTCTCTTTTTAAGTTTTTTTTTTCACTGAATTATACTTCTCGAATAATATCTTTGAACCCTTATCTTCTCCATTACTGATAATACTTCTACTACGTCTACCATTATGGGATTTGAACTCTGTACTAATATGGTATGGCAACTTCAACTGATGGGACGGATGTACATATGAAGTTCTCCATTGTAGCTGACTGACTGACTAACTGACTGAATCATGTATTTCATTGTTCATTGTTAAAGTTACGAAAATGTTACAACATTGAATAGTGAGCTATGTTTTGCAGTGTAGGAGTAGATTGGAAGAAAGCTAGGGGCAGCCAGACCAAAACATGGCACAAATCCATGAAGTCACTGACAAGTGGACTGAGTCATGTTGGTAGATGTAGGCTATATGGTTTGGGTCCGCGAGACGAAAGTCACCAATGGTTAGAGACCTTGAACAACATTGCTCAGAATCGTTTGCAATGGCACAGGTGCATCCACTCTTTGTGTGCTTTTTAATTATAACGTTCTGAATTCCTCATAATCTCTGTCTTTCTCCTTACAAATTTATCTCACTGAATTATACTTTTTGAACCATATCTTCGCTCCATAATCTCCTCCATTGCTGCTAATAATTCTATTATCGCTATCATTTTTGGATTTGAACTGACGGTTACATCTCTGTGCGGATGTGGTATGGCAACCTGAACTGATGTACTTATGTACGAAGTTCTGCGTTGTATCTGTCTGTCTGACATTGAATAGTAAATTTATTCAAGGTTTAATGATCACTTAATTAAATCAAGTTGCATGAAGTAGAGAGAGAATTAAGGTTGAGAGGGTAAAATACAAATTTTCATCTAATTGCTTGTATAATGATCAAATTCTTGTTTCATTTTCATTTTTCTCTCTTTCTTTAAATTTAACAATTAATTTAAAGCATTCAGTTCCTTTACACACACACACACACAATTCAACATACAAAATGTTCTTCCATATCATGATACTGCCATTCATTTACAATTTTCATAGTATGTTAGTTTGTTGTAAAAATTCAATTCAATTGTAGTAAGCAGTTAACATGTGAATGTGTATATATATATATAATCAACATTAGTGTGTATAAGGTTTCTTTTAAGTGTGTGTGTGTATGTGGGTGGGTGGGGGTGTGTGTACGTTTCAAAAAATCTAATATTGAAAATGGGAATTAAGAGTGTTACTTACCGTATGAAAATTTAATCTTGTACATCCAACTGACGAGTTGTAGATTCCACTGTTAACCATTGATCATCTATGCTTTTATAATGCTTGTAACTTGCCAAATCAGATTGACCAATTGCTGTTGTAAACATCAGTGGGGAGATGCAAATGATTTAACATTGTTTAGTTATGAGTCAGTCATTTGCAACGTAGAACTTCGTACGTAAGTACATCAGTTCATGTCGCCATACCACATTAGCACTTAGATGTAATTGTCAATTCAAATCCAATAGTCGAAGAGGTAGTAAAGGTATTAGAAGTAATCGGAGAGGTTAGGATTAGAAGATATTATTCAAGAAGTATGATTCAGTGAGATAAGTTAAGAAAGTCAAAACAAGAGGCGTTGGAGAATCCAGAAGATTAGAATTTGAGAGGACACAAAGAATAAATGCACCGGCGCCATTGCGAACGATTTTGAGCCATTTCATTCAAGGTCTCTAACCATCGATGATTATCATCTCGCGGACCCCAACCATGTAGTCGACAACTACCTACATGACTCAGTCCACTTGTCAATGACTTCATGGATTTCTGCCATGTTTTGGTCTGACCGCCCCTAGCTTTCTTCCAACTTACTCCTACACCATAAAACATAGCTCGTCGAGGCAGTCGGTGATTAGGCATATGCAGCACATGTCCCAACCACCTCAACTGATGAAGTTTCATTACTTCATCTATTGACATGCCATTCTTACCTAGCACCCGATTCCTAATAACAGCGTTGCTCATTGTTTAGTTATGAATATCTGGTGCATTGGACTTTTCATTAAAGAGTTGTGAAGATTATTGAGTTTCATTAAAATCGTGAAACGATTATTGTTAGATTAATATCAGAGACCTGAAAACACTGGAAGACGGCTGTTTAATCCTAGTATGAGACTCGGTACTCATCTACGACTCCCACTCGCAGAAACCATACTCAGCAATCTTCAAATCTCTGTAATGAGAATCATAAAAATGTGCTCACTAGTGACTGGTTTCGTGAGGAAATTCTTCAAATTACAGTGAAAAGCTGTAACTAGTGAAGTGTAGGCAGTTTTACCTACCCGAAAACAACTGCTGAGGTTGCGTAATACTTTGGATTGCTTAAAGTTAAACACTAACACTAACTGATGTACTTATGTACAAAGTTCTACGTTGCATCTGACTGACTAACACCGTTGAATACTGTCTCAATGGTCTAAAGGTCGTGTTCTCGCTCGAAACCGAAGGTCCTGAGTTCGATTTCCGCGAGGGGGTCGTGGTTGCCCACTGCTGATAAGTTCTATACTAGGACGAAACGGCCATCTTTCAATTCTCACAGGTTTCTAATGTGGGGGGTCTAACAATAATCGATTCATGATTTCAATGAATCAATGGACTTAATTGCTCCAATCTGACTTATTCACTAGCTTACCATGCCTTATGTGAAGTATTTTTGTATAACAACCGATTCACCACACCAATGTAATAGGAGTATTTCCACGGATTTTGAAGATACACTATTTTCTATATTATACTGCTTAATGTTAAGTATGATTCAAATCTTTGTGCACTTGACAATCAATGAATATTCTTCTATTTCTAAAGTACTTTCATTCGTTCGTTACACGAGTTGCACGCCCTTGAAACTGATGAATAATAATCAAACATTGAGCATTCTCAATTTTTATCTCACTGAATTGTAATCAATCAGTTGAAATTTTTCATAAACAAGTGAATTTGTGTTAGTTACTATCACACACACACACACACCTACTGTCCGTAGGTCATAGAGACAAAGCAGTAGTAGTACACTTATGCAAATGTTGATTTCAATTTAACTAAACATAGAATAAGGAAAGTGAAAAGGAATATATAGTGCATTTGTAGTTTTATTATGTGTGTATGTATAGGGTTAGGGTTGGCTCTTATGTACAGTACAGTTTCATTATGATCCATGAGCAGTCAGTCAGTTAGTCAGATGCAACGTAGAATTATGTATGTACGTACATCAGTTCATGTTGCCATACCACATCAGCACAGAGATGTAATTGTCAATTCAAATCCAATAGTAGTAGAGGTTAGGATTAGAAGATATTATTCAAGAAGTATGATTCAGTGAGAAAAGTTTAGAAAGTCAAAACTAGAGGTGTTGAATAATCTAGAAGATTAGGCGCCATTGCAAACGGTTTTGAGCCATGTCATTCAGGGTATCTAACCATCAATTAATTATCATCTCGCGGACCTCAACCATGTAGTCGACAACTACCGACATGGCTCAGTCCACTTGTCAATGACTTCATGTATTTCTGCCATGTTTTGGTTTGGCCGCCCCCACTAGCTTTCTTCCAACCTATTCCTACACTACAAAACAAAGCTCGTCGAGGCAGTCGATGGTTAGGCATACGCAACAATGAGTTTTACATTGAGTTTGTCGTTTAGTTCACATTTTCTTTACTGTTGTGATACTAAACCCCTTGCTTGCTTACATGACCTTGCGCTTAATTACACTGGATTTTCTCTAATTCATCTCTTCATTTATGTCAACTTATCCGTACATGTTTCTTTATATAACAGATATATATATATATACGTACATTCGTATAAACTTTATCATGTATTTATGTGTGTTAGTCTCAAGTGCTTAAACTACATTGCATTGATCATAAGATTTTCTTTTTTTTAATTGTCATGAATTAATTTTTTTTTCTTTTTTCTCTTAAGAGAAAAAATAATAATCATCAATCGATTTAAATTTCACTTTGTATATTCTTCTGTTCATGAATACTTATAGCTAGCTAGCTTTCTTTGATCATACATAGATAAAAAATAAATGTGAATATAACCAACCTACCCTAGCTGCTAGTTTACATGTGTACAAGTTATGTGTTGTTATGCTTTGAAAACAAATATATTCATTCATTAATAAATGTGTAGAATATTAGATGAGTAAAATTGATTGATTCAATCAATGTACAAACTATTCTAATCACTTTATTTCATAGGAATATAACTAAGAAGAGAAAAACTCAGTGACGTGTAGGTATGAGGGTGGATTTCACTTCCTGACTGGCCCACACTGTGGAAGGATACTTCTTAAGGAACCTGAAATCAAGTTAGATTAATGTTGGTCTTAGAGACCTGCAAGTGTCCCGACCGTAGCTGCTACCTTAACGTGGTGGTCGGGCTTGCTTATCGTGATGACCCAACCGAGCTATACTGGCTGGAACATATGTTCCTGCAGGTCCTACCATGCCAGGCTGGTCGATTGGAGAACGATCAGACTAAAAGCAGCTAGCTACCCAAGGTCTGAGGGCGAAGTCGTACTGCTGACTGACTGCAGATGGGTGTGACAGCAGTAAGGTGTTTCCCTCGGACAACCAGCATCTGCAGCGATGCTGCCTTCTCACAAGGAAGGAAGGGTTAGAAAAGGTCGACCCTAAAAATGTCACACCTCCCCTACCTCACGGATTTCCGTCTCCTTGGGTAAGGGTGCCCACTAATGGCCTTTAAGAGTGGAGCTAATACTCAAAACACTTTTTATCAGAAGGCCATGTGTGACCGGCCTCATGCAGTTGTCCCTTGGGCTCTGCGGTCACGCACCCAGGTCTCCAAGACCAACACTAATCTATCTTCCTTTTCATGTCCCTCAAGAAACAACCTTCCACGGTGTGGGCAGCCGGGAAGTGACAACCGCCCTGATACACGAGAGACCAAATTGGTCGAAATCAAATCCTTCCTACACCCACACATACCTCTCTTCTCTCCACAACTAACTGTACTCACATTCCCTTATCTGACTGACCTGCAAGTGTGACCAACACAGCCCAAGGGACAACTGCTTGAGGCCGGGAACGCACGATCTTGTTGAGTGTATTTTTTAACGTATTAGTTCCGCTCTTCAAGCAACCTTACCTTCGGAGAAGGAAATCGGTGAGGTAAGGTGTGGCGTGACATTCGTGGGGTTGACTTTTTCCAACTCCCTTCCTTCACTTATTCAATATTGTACTTTCTTTCAGATGTTTTTTATTATTGCGTCATCAAAAAGTACCAATAAAATTACATCCGGATTATTTACATTTTATTTTCTTCACTTCACATAAACAACAGGGATTACATTTATGGGATTTAGAAGCTTGTGCTATTCTGCAACGTTTTGTTGGGCATAAACAAGATACTTTTCGATTGTATTCTACATTTGGTGGAGCCAATGAAGATTTTGTAGCTACAGGAAGTGAAAGTAAGTATTAAGTGTTTTGTTCTTCATTTTATAAGTGTTTGAATAGATATGAACCTAATGATGTAACGTTCGTATAAATTTCATATCTTGCAGATTAATTCGTTCAGCTTATTCGATTTGACTTATTATTGACCAACTACGTCTTAATATAATAACATTTATGTCAGATCGAGCTAGCCTACTGAATGATAAACAATGAAATGCTTTAGTTCGATCGAGAGTGAGGAAAGTCTGCCCATTCCTCTTGAGAAATCCTCTCCTATGGCCACACATGTATAGTCACTCAAATGAGCATCCTACTCAACTGTCTTCTCATGATGATAATGATGTTTACAAAGTTGGGAGGACAAAAAGCAAGTGTCTGATGCTTTGGTTGGTTTGGTAGATACAGAAGATCTATCCAGTGGAGTTGGAAAATCCTCATTTCAAACCAATGGTGCGCATTGGTCCTATGATTCTGGTGGAACAAATGATGTCAGAACATATTTTTGATCATTGGCTATCATGGAATTACATCTCTTGACGTTGCTCCACTGTTTTGTGGATTAGACCTTCGTATCAAAGGCTTGGGGAATGGCCCCCCCCATTCGACTTGGTCATCCGGGGAGTAGTATCCTAACCTACTCAAAAATTAAACGACTTGTGTAGCGCATAAATTCTATAAGTTTTAGACGTAACTAAAATTGAATAGAGAGGATGTCTTGAAACCCGACTGTTCATATTCTCGACTTTAGTTGACTAACAATATAGTGTGGTATTGTCAGTGATACCTGTCCCACCCCCCGATATGTTTGAACTACACGAATTATAAAACAAATAAGTTGGAACACCATTAGAGGATCAAAGATATGATTTGAGAAGTATATCCTAATGTGGATAATGGACATAACGTGCATACTTTAAAAGCATTCAAAATAATTAATAGGTAACGTACACCACTTGTAACTCCGTTATGCTGAAGCCATTGTCATCAAGCGTTTCCTGTTTATCATACTTTAGAATTTAGAATAAGAAATCCCATTAACATTCACTCAAGTCACTAACAACTGGACTGATTGATATTGCTAAGAGTGGACTACCTGGTCGCGGTCCGCCAGATGATAGTAGTCGATGGTTAGAGACCTTGAATGACATGGCTCAAAACCGTTTGCAATGACCGTTCTTTGGCTTCTCTCAAATCCTAATCCTCTGAATTCTTCATCACTTTTGTCTTTTTCTTTGTAAGTTCTTTTCGCTAGATTCTACTTCTGGAACCCTAATCTTCTCCATTACCACTAATATTTCTACTACCTCTACTACTATGAGATATGAATTGACAATTGCATATCTGTATTAATGTGGTATGGCAACTTGAAGTGATATACGTACGTACGAAGTTCTACGTTGTAACTCACTGACGTCTCCCTTTTTTATGATTCTATTTTTAATGTATATAAATGCTGATCAGTCTTAACGATTATGGTCAATATGATGTTGAGACGGTGGAGAGAATTTGAGCTCAGGTAGATGATTATGTTGGAGTTTGTTCTCTGAGCCGAATGTTTCCGTTATGAAGCTTTTATTGTTCTTCTGAACAACATTTGATGCTGTTGTTATGATAATGTAACTGTTGATCGTGAGTATCTGTGGCAGTAGCTGTCACTGAAAGGCGTACTAAATGGGCACAATAACCTTATACAGGCTCTCTAGTCGAACATTACTGGTCGAGTGAGAGGTTATGGCGAACTATCGTCAGAATTTACTGCTTCAATTGGTGTTCGTCAGAGCTGTCCACTATCTCCATTCTTAGTCCACTTTGTCATTGACCTGCTTTTAGAGACGACTCTTATTACGTCTGACTTTTCAGGAGTTGAATTTTCACCGGAAGACTTAGAATATGCTGATGACATAGTTTTCTACATGGTGGAGACTCTGAGAAAAGGCAGTTTTCTGACCACCCCAAGCAACAATGCAAGCATGTTCGGGATGCGGTTCTCTTCCTCGAAATGCAAAATGTTACTTCAGGATTGGCTTGCATCGGCACCTGAACTGGTGATAGAGGGTAAAGTGTTTGGGCATGTCGACCGCTTCATTTATCTCGGGAGTCTCATGAGTGCTGATGACCTAGTAGTGTGTGACGAAGTCTCAACGTGAATACAGAAGGTTCGATTGGCTTTCGCTAACTCTCGTCGCTTACGGTATCGGTGAGATAGATATCCGTCTACTGCGCATCAAATCGCTCTATCCTACTCTATGGGTGTGAAATACGACCAGTAAGAGTAGAGGATATTTGTAGGTTATTGATATTCAATCATAAGTGTCATCAATGCATTGTTCGTTTATCCTGGAACCGTGTAGTAAGCAGTGCTGATGCCAGGCAACGGGTACTCGTTAAGGATGGTAGATCAATTCATCAAGTAGTAAATGTGATGAGGTGGTTGGGACACTTGTTACATATGCCTAACCACCCACTACTTCGAAACAGTGGCCTATGCTCCATTGGGGGTAACAGGCTTAAGTAAGTAAGTAAGTAAGTAAGTAACCCACTACTTCGACGAACAATATCTTGTGAGGCTGGAAGAAAGCAAGAGGCAGTCATTCCAAAACGTGGCACAAATCCAAGAAAATCACTGGGAACTAGAGTGAGTCTAGTGTTAGTAGGTGTAATCTACCTAGTTGAGGTCCGCGAAACAATGGTAACCGTTGGTTAGCGACTTTGAATGACATGTCTCAAAATCATTTCAATGGTACAAGTGCATCCATTATTTGTTCTCTCTCTCTAATTCTTAACTTTTAGATATATTTATTTCAATGACTTGCATTCTATTGAATCATATCTTCGATTCTTAATCGTTTCCATTACCGCTAGCTAATACTACTACAACTTCTAGTACCATGGGATTTGAATGTACAATTTGATGATCTCTGTGTGTGGTAATGTGATATTGACAACTTGAACTGATGTACTTACGTACTAAAATCTATGTTGTTGTTGACTGACTGACTGACTGTACACTTGGTTCTATTGTGCATATTAATAATGAAATTAAGCTTGGGAACATTAGTAGATTTTAATGTTCAACCAGTCAGCTGCAACTTGTAAGTCAGTCAGTCAGATGCAACGTAGAACTTCGTACGTTAGTACATCAGTTTATGTCGCCATACAACATCAATTCAAATCCAATAGTAGAAGAGGTAGTAAAGGTATTAGAAGTAATCGGAGAGGTTAGGATTAGAAGATATTATTCAAGAAATATGATTCAGTGAGAAAAGTTTACAAAGTTGAAGAATCCAGAAGATTAGGCGCCATTGCAAACGGTTTTGAGCCATGTCGTTCAGGGTATCTAACCATCGATTATTATCATCTCGCGGACCCCAACCAGGTAGTCGACAATTACCGACATGGCTAAGTCCATTCGTCAATGACTTCATGAATTTGTGTCATGTTTTGGTTTGGCCGCCCCTAGCATTTCTTCCAACCTACTCGTACACTACAAAACAAAGCTTGTCGAGGCAGTCGGTGGTTAGGCATACACAACACATGTGCAACTTGTAAATTAGACATGAAATGCTAATCAAGTTAAGCCGACATGTTTCTTTATGAGTATGATTAATGAATGAATGAGTCATTGATTTGTACTATGCATTAAAGTACAAAAATATGTACACCATTCACTTAAACAAACCTTTTAGTTTTCATTTAGGGTCATCTAATTGTTTTCTAAGTTTTCCTCTCTCCCCCCCCCACACACACACTTCATCTTTTCACTTCCCACCCACCTACTATGGAAGAATATTGTTTTATGAAGGTGTACTTTTACATTCTGATTACAAAGTTGAATTGTTTTAATATTTTTTCCCCCTATTTCATATGGGGGTAGTTAGTATAGATATTGTCACATGATTTAAAATTGATGAAACTCATATTCTTATTGGAAAATGAACGCATACATTTTCAGTTCATCTTCAGTTTTTTTTTGAAGATGACCTTGTGAATATACAAATGTATATATTTTTGAAACCATGGATCGATCAATGTTAGACCACCATTAGAAACCTGGAAGCACTGGACGGCCGTTTCGTCCTGGTATGGGACTCCTCAGCAGTGCGCATCCACGACTCCTGCACCCCGCAGGATTCGAACCCAGGACCTTCGGTATTGTGCGCGAACGCCTTAACCGATAGACCACTGAGCCGGTATCGATTCATGGTTTCAAAAATGTGTAACTTAACAATCTTCACAACCCCGTAATGCAAATTACCTGTGCTCACTAGTGACTAGCTTCGTGAGGAATCTTCTCCGAGTTCTAGTGGGAAGACGTGACCAGTGAAGTTCAACCTGTTCGGGTGTAGACAGTAACTACCGAAGACTGTGTATGAGGTTGCGCAACTCCGTGAATTTGATCAAGTTAGACATTAACACCGTTAGATACCGGCTCAGTGGTCTATCGGTTAAGGCGTTCGCGCACAATACCGAAGGTCCTGGGTTCGAATCCTGCGGGGTGCAGGAGTCGTGGATGCGCACTGCTGAGGAGTCCCATACCAGGACGAAACGGCCGTCCAGTGCTTCCAGGTTTCTAATGGTGATCTAACATTGATCGATTCATGGTTCCAAAAATGTGTAACTCAACAATCTTCACAACCCCGAAATGTATATATATGAATATACATGTTTAAACGATAAATGTCATGAAATCTGCTGCTTTTTGATGATATATATTTCATATTTTAACTCATATTTAACTCTTTGAGATCGTGGAGAAAATTTGTAGTTCAGGTGAACACGATTGTGATAAAGTTTCATTCATTCTTTGAGCTGGTTGTGGGAGCTTTTATTGTTCTTCTTTCTGAACACAAACATCATCAACACAAACTTCAGATAAGCAGAAGTGAAGTAAATAAATTTCTCCAGATCAACAGAAATACAAGTTTGTGCTGATGATGTTTGTGTTCAGCAGCAACAGAACAATGAAAGTCCCATAACCAAAACATTCAGCTGAAAAAAAAACGAACGAACGAAACTCCATGACAACTTCATTCTTCATCATATAACGTTGACTGATTCAGATAATTTTTTTCTAATTAAGATCACGAATCAATTTAAACTAGACAACCATTAAAAACTTGAGAGCAGGTCAATCGTATTGTGTGACTCGACTCCTGAACAGTGTATATCCATATTCCCATCTGGTGATCGAACCTAGAACCCTTACACTCAACACGCTTGGACTTTACTGATCACAGCTTTTTAATCTAAAAAAGTTATTCACTAGTTGTTAGCACACAATATCATCATTCGACTTTAACATTATTGAATTTAATGGTTAAGCGATCACCTTGAGACTCTAAGGTTCTAAGTTCTATCCTTCGGTAGGAATGTAGATGTACAATGCTGTGGAAATCGCACAATAGTAGGACTGAACACAACTGTTCAGTACTTCCAAGTATTTATTAGTAGTTTGATTGATTCATGATCTCGATAACCATTCAGCATCAATCGCCATACAGATAATCCATATTTTGCTCTGGAGGTTTTATTTATTTTAATCCAACGTTTGCTGACTAGTTTGTGATGTTGATAGTCGGTTAGTTGATAATCCCCTGTTTGCATTTTCCTTTGATGAAATTTTGGATAAATAGTCTACACTTATCGATGCATTTATCAGTGCATTTATTCTTTGTGTTCTCTCAAATCCTAATCTTCTGGATTCTTCAACACCTCTAGTTTTGACTTTCTAAACTTTTCTCATTTAATCATACTTCTTGAATAATATCTCCTCATCCAGACCTCTCCCGATTACTTCTAATACCCTTACTAACTCTTCTACTATTGGATTTGAATTGACAATTATATCTCTGTGCTGATGTGGTATGGCGACATGAACTGATGTACTTACGTACGAAGTTGTACGTTGCATCTGACTGACTGACTGTTTTGACCCATCGAGTTACAGCAATTCATTAATGACATATATTAATCTGGATGTTATTAACATACTGGCAGATTTTATCCACACAGACCTAACACTAACCTTATATATATCAAATCATCACTTGATATCTTGAAAGTACAGTACAGTACAGTACAGTAAACAAGTTAGTAATTAAGATCAGTATGTGAAAGACACATTTGACATAACCTGGTAGTGAAGGTTCTACAAATTACTTCATTAGTTGTTTATTTTCCATTCGCAGACGAGCTATATTTTGTGGTGTAGGAGTAAGTTGGAAGAAAGCTAGGGGTGGCCAAACCAAAACATGGCACAAATCCATGAAGTCACTGACAAGTGGACTGAGTCATGTTGGTAGATGTAGGCTACCTGGTTGGGGTTCGCGAGACAAAAGTCACCGATGGTTAGAGACCTTGTATGACATGGCTCAGAATCGTTTGCAATGGCGCAGGTATCATCCACTCATTCGGTTCTCTCTAATTCTAACCTTCTGAATTCCTCATAATCTATACCTTTCTCCTTCTAAATTTATCTTACTGAATTATACTTCTCCAATCACTATCACTGTTGGATTTGAACTGACAGTTGCATCTCTGTGCTGATGTGGTGGCATGGCAACCTGAACTGATGTACATACGTACGAAGTTCTGCATTGTATTTGTCTGTCTGCTCGGGAGGTTTTATTTATTTTAATCCAACGTTTGGTAACTTAGTTTGTGATGTTGATAGTCGGTTAGTTGATGATAATCCACTGTTTGAATTTTCCTTTGATGAATGAAATCTTGGATAAATAGTCTTCTACACTTATTGATTTGAAGAAAGTTAAATTGTATTCTCGATTTGTGTCAAATAAGTGGATTGTATTTTTGTTGTCGAAAAAAAATAAAAATACAATTACATATAAAGTACACAAATCACGTTTTGAAGAAAAAATTTTTTTTTAAAAAAAAAAAAGACACTTGAAAATATTATGCACTAACTAACTAACTAAACATTCAATGTTCAATTTTTGTCTGAATATTCATTGATTAAAATTTTTTTTAAAAAAAATGAAATTATCCAACTGTGCTAAGTGTGTTTATCACATATATTCTGTGATTATTCTGTGACGTAAAAAGGTACATTTTGATAATATTATTACTACTATTGATCAGTTGAATTGAATTTTGAACTGAATTTTTTTCTTTAAAAAAACCCGCGCTATTATTGATTCTATTAAATATTAAACAGATGATAATCTGTGTTTAATATTTTGCATCACTCATTCATCATTACACAGAGTGATTCGATTACCACCTGTACTCTGTATTGGCTGTTGTTGGTTTACTTTCCTCGATTATTGATTTTCAACAACACCTTGATTCAAACAGTGTCTTTCTATCTTCTTTAAATTAGCCGCATAGTTTGGTACACTAAGCTTTCTGGGTGGGGTTAATAAATGTTCCCATTGTAAAGTATCCATTTTAATTATGTATAGTCCAAACTACCCAATAGGAAGTTTGTGGATAACATACAATTTTGGAGGATTACTACTACGACTACTTCACTCCGTATCACACTGGTTCAGGTGCCGATGAAACCCAATCTTAAGGCAACATTTCGTATTTCGAAGGGGAAGAACCACATCCCGAACATGCTTGTATTGTTGCTTAGAGTAGTCAGAAGACTCTGTATTTTCTCAGCGTCTTCACCAAATAAAACTATGTCATTGGCATACTCTAAGTCAACAAGCTTATCTCCTGGTAAAAGGTCCATTCCTGGAAAAGTCAGACGATCATAATGTTAACTCTAAAAGCATGTCTACATGAATGGAGAGAGTGAACAGCCCTGACGAACAGCACTTGAAGGAAAGAATTCCGATGACAGTTCGCCATTAGGTCTCACTTGACAAGTGGTGTTTGAGTAAAGAGCTTGCATAAGGATAATGTACTTCTTTGGTACACCTTTTAATGACAGACACATGTCCCTTTGTAATTATTGACGGGAATGCCCTAATTTTCCTAATCACCTTAAATCTTTCTTAAATATACATAAGAATTTGTGTTTACAATTGCGTTTAACTAATTTTCTCTTTTTTTTCTGTCTGATTTTTTAAGATGGTCGAATACACATTTGGCATGTGGGTAGTGGTAGTCATCCTATACATTCATCTCCTGGTACAGGGAATCGTGATCCAATTACATGTGTTCATTGGAATCCTGTATTGCCTACAATGATTGCTTCAGTGAATGATGCTGGTGAATTATGCATTTGGGGACCACAACGTAAATTATTAACCGATGTTTTTCCATTTTGTTTAATTTTCTTCTGTAATGTTTTCATCTTTTTTTTCTATCTATCTATCATAAGAATTTTTTGAGTTGAATCAATCCGATTGAAGGATGGTAGGATGCTATTGGATTTTAGCGCTAAATTCAACTTATTGTGTTGTTTAAGGAGATAGATATGTGAGATAACTCAATCAAATTGACTGAGAAAATTGTCGAATCCAAACTAAGGTTTGGACTGAGTGAGGAATAACTGTCGAGGTAGTTTAGATATGCGCTATTGCCCAGCTGAAATCCAAAACAAGTGATTTGGGTAAATGACGGTTCTAATATTTATCATAAATATAAGTTAACATCATTACCTAAACAAATATTACCAATCAGTTAGTTATTCTACCAACAATTGTTCAATTATTCAAATAAATGATATTCTATCCCTCCTGGATAGATCAGATTCGTTCGACAAATAATATTTGGTTGCTTTATAACACTGAGTCTTTCCTATTCTGGAAGAGTGCTTCAATTCACAATCGTAATGCACAATTCCAGTCAGTGGCAAGCAACATAATCAAAAGAGGAACAAATCAATATGGCTGTCACCATGACTAATAAGTATCAGCTTAAACAACATAAATGAAGTTCAGTTCAGAAAGAAACATAAAAACTCAATGAAGGCAAAAGAAATAGACACTATAATAAAATACAAATATTATCATCTGCGAAATGGAATCGAACAGATTAACAGACTAAATGTACAACTGAAGGAATCAATAAGGAAAAATTACAAATGTAAATCTCATGGAGGGATTTTCATAAAAACAAAACCTTCAAAAAATGCATCCTTCAGAATTTTTTTCCCATATTTGGACGCTTAAAGTTGGTAAACCACACCCACCAGCTCCACCGCAGCCTCAAACTCCTTCGGCCACGGGAGCTCCTTCCTCTAAGCAGGCAGCGACACCAAATGTAGTGAAGGGGCCCGGGCGGAGTTGGTGGTGCTGGGGACGCTGCGGGGAGGTGAGGCGAAGGCGGTATACGACAGCCTGGAAAGTGCCGCTGGGAAGACGGCCTGGGAGACGGTCACCGGGCGGCTGATGACGGAGTTCGACAGCCCGGTGGACAGGGAGGAGGCGCCGCTGAGGCTCCGGTTGACGAGGCTGTCGGCTGATGGTGGTGACCCGTTGATGCTGCGTCGTACGCTGCCGAGTATGTATGGGGAGTCGGGGGCTCAGTTGTTGGCGTCGCAATTTATCGAGTGTGCCTGTCGCCGTGTCCCAACAGCGGGAACTAGTAAACGCTACACGTTGGATAGATGCCGTATCCATTCCAGACCAGCGGGCAAGAACAATGACCGAAGTAGTAATCCGGCATATTGTAGCGCGTCACGGAATACGGAAGGTGATATTAACTGACCAGGGTCCCTGTTTTCAAAGACTACGATGACAGCTTATTAAAAGGGGGGACGAGTGTGGTGCGAGCTACTTATAAGTAGTATATGACGCGAGTGTAAACGTAATGTCTGGCAGCAGAAAATGGGGGAAGATCAAGAAAGGAAGAGTTAGAAAACAATGGAATTTGTATGAAACGCATGAATAGTGACAATGGATTGATGTTTTGCAACAGAAACAGTCCAGTTCGATATGATGAACTGTTATTTTGCAAATGAACGATTTACGATATGGTTTTTCAATTTTACTGAGCTACTTTTCCTACACCTAACCGCGCAACTACTGCAGTTCTCTGGAACATAAATTGATTTATTCTCGTAGTCCTGGTCAAATTTCAGAGTAATCTGTTCGATATTTATACAAACCTGTTTTATCTGTTCTTTTTGAATTGACCATCACTTTTTTTTTTCTTCTGTAGGTTACGCATTAGGTAACGGTCAACCGATGGATTCGTCAGCCTAAAGTCTTCCACACTGACTCAACTAGCTAGCTAACCCAAACATGAAAATGGATATTTGAGATCTTTTGGTCTCACTACTACTACTACTACTACTAGTACTACTACTCCTACTACCCTTTTCCTTTTCATCACACTTACTACATATATATATATATATTTGCCAATTGTTTTATTGAAAAAATAAAATAAAGAGTATGAAAACTCTTAGCGACAACATTGCAAGTATCATCATTTAACCCCTATTAAAAATTGTCACTTTGAGTAAAAAAAAAAACAGACAGCTTCCATAATTTACTTGTTTTTCCATGTATCACACACAAACACACTACTGTTATTGGTGTAGTAGTATATTTCTCACTCACTCTCTCTCTTTCTCTGTCAGTGTCTGTCTCATTAGTAATGAGAAGAATAATCGATGGTGGTGGTGGTGTTTTTCATGCGAACTCCACGTGTCTGTGTGCATGTTGTGTAATAATAACCTCGAACTTTGCTGTTATCGCTATTGTTATTATTATTATTACTGTTATTCTGCATGCACATGGGTCGGCCAGGGCAGAAAACTAGGGTGATAGATAGATACCATGAAACGACGTAACTTTCTTTCGACTACTCTATACATCGGAATAAATATTTGCTTCAGTATTGTAACCTACCCTGATGTGTGTTGACGTTGATGTTGTTGTTCGAAACCCTGTTTGTTGGTTTGTTCGTTCGTTTTGTTTTTCTCTTTTATAAACGTGTAGTAAGTAATTTCGGTTGTTTGTTTTTTTTAATTTTATTTTATTTTTGTTGTTTTTTAATTTTTTTCTCCTTTTTCTGTTTTCTGACGACAATTTTGTGTCACACCTATCCACAATATTTACAACATTTATTATTTTCTCCTTTTTGTTTGTCTGTCTAATACACTTTCCATGCGCGCGCACACACACACACATGCGAGTACATGTTGTTTTTTTTCATTCTTGTGTGTGTGTTCATGTCGTCGATCCGAAATACTGCGTATCTGTGTATGTCTGTCTTCATTACATAATTATTATTACTATTATTATGATTATTTCTTAGGGCTCCTAAATTAATGATGATATTTTCGCATAGGTAAGAAACTTTCTCTCTCTCTCTCTCTTACGTTTATTATTATCAATAATTTATAATATAATAATAATAATAATAATTCAAAGCCTTGTTGATATCTCAAGGATTGAAAGTGGAATGATCATCAGTCTCCCTCACTCCAATTCATGATGATGTATGTGCTGTGCTGTGTTCTATTCTGTTCTGTTTCCTTTTTTGGCGGCCACATTTTCCTCTTCTCTTTGACATCATTATGGATTTGTGTGTTTTTTTCTACTATAATTAGAGAAACCGCAGTGAACTGTGTATGAAAAATTTCATGAAATGACAGAAACACATCATTGGACAATACACGTATAGACAATAAATAATTGAGTATGCTGTGAACTACCGACGAAAATATGACTTTCCTATACTCTCCTCGTCTTGTAATTTTGTTTTTAATTTTGGTGGTGGAAGTGGAGGTGGAGGGAGGCGTTAAAATGTAGTGTGATTATTTTGCCACACAATAATAATAATATTATTATTATTACTATTCTCTAACTTTTTTTTTATTTCATAACACAACACACTAACTCTCTAGTAGTAGTTAGTTCATCATCCATCATACAAGAAGAAGTGCATATTATTATTTATCTATCTATCTGTCTGTGTAACTGACTGGGTTCTTTTTCGTTGTTGTTGTTGTCAGTTGATGAACCCTTTTTTTTCTTTCTCATAGCTAGCTCTAATCACTTTGTTTTGGCGTCGTATTTTATTCATAAAAAATATAACTTGGACTTTACTTATTATAATCGTTATTGTCTATATACACACACATATATATGCGCGCGTGCAAAAAATATATACGTTTTTTTGTCTATTTCCATTTGTTAATTTTTACAACGTTTTATATTTTAGAAGAATTGAATAAATAAGTCTACTCTTTGACGACAAGCTATTCATACTGGGGTATTAAGATGTACTGATTGTTTTTTTATTTTCCGAATGATTGGTTTATTGTTTCATTCCCCAGACTGCATTAAGATGATGAAAAAAATTCCATTCGTCACGAAGTTCCATAGTAAAGTTGATGTTTATAACCAGAGAAATGCATTGTAATTCATTTTATGATAGACAGACAGACAGATACAACACAGAACTTTAGAAGTATTAGCAATAATGAAGAAAACTAGGGAGCGAAGATATTATTCAGTCAGTCAGATGCAACGTAGAACTTTGTACGTAAGTACATCAGTTCATGTTGCCATACCACATCAGCACAGAGATGTAATTGTCAATTCAAATCCAATAGTAGAAGAGGTAGTAAAGGTATTAGAAGTAATCGGAGAGGTTAGGATTAGAAGATATTATTCAAGAAGTATGATTCAGTGAGAAAAGTTTAGAAAGTCAAAACTAGAGGTGTTGAAGAACCCAGAAGATTAGAATTTGAGAGAACACAACGAATGAATGCACCTACGCTATAGCAAGCGATTTTAGGCCATGTTTTTCAAGGTCTCTAACCATTGGTGGCTTACATCTCGTGGACCACGACCGGGTAGCTTACATCTACCAACATGACTCAGTCCACTTGTCAGTGACTTCATGGATTTGTGCCATGTTTTGGTCTGGCCACCCCTAGCTTTCTTCCAACTTACTCCTACACCACAAAACATAACTCGTCGAGGCAGTCGGTGGTTAGGCGTTCGTAACACATGCCCCAACCATTTCAGCTGATGAAGTTTCATCTATTCATTTGTCATCCCTGCGTAGTACTCGTTTCCTAACTATAGCATTGCTTATTCGGTTGTCCCACGAGCAATGCTTCAGAGACACCTATGCTTGGAGACAAGCAATCTACGAATGTCCTCTACTCTCACCGACCATGTTTCGCATCCGTTTAATAGGACGGAGTAAACTGTAGTGCATTATACTCGTCCTTTGGTTAGCAAACGGATATCTCACCTGCGCCATAGGTGATGCAAGTTGGCAAAACCAATCGTGCTTGCTGTATCCGTGCTGAGATTTCGTCAGTCACCAGCACTGATGAGACTCCCCAGATAAGTGAAGCGGTCTACATTTTCGACTACTTCACTCCCTATCACTAGTTCAGGTACCGATGCACCCCAATCTTGAAGCAACATTTTGCATTTCGAGGGGGAAAACTGCACCCAGAACATGCTTGCATTATTGCTTAGGGTAGTGAGAAGACTGCACTTTTTAAGCGTCTTCACTGAATAGGACTATGTCATCAGCATATTCTAAGTCACCAAGCGTATCACTAGGAAATTTGCTTATAATCACCATCCTTAAATTGTGATAAGCACAGTAAGAAATCTCTCGTATATGAAATTGTATTTTTCATGTACCTATATCAGTCAGTCAGTTACAACGTGGAACTTCGTAAGTATGAACGTACATCAACTCAGCTTGCCATACCACATTAGTAGATACAGATCGAATTATCAATTCAAATCCCATAATGGTAGAGGTAGTACAAGTATTAGTGGTAATGGAAAGGAGTAAGCTTCGAAGATATTATTCAAAAAGCATAAGTCAGAGAAATAAGAGATAGATAAAGGTGGTGAGGAATTTAGAAGGCTAGAAATTTCAGAGAAGACAAAAAGTGGATTTCGAGTCATGTCATTCAGTATCTAACCACCGGTTACCATTGTCTCGCAGACCTCAACTAACATGTGTAAGTCTAGTTCTCAGTAATTTCGTGGATTAGTGGCACGTTTTGGATTGACCGCCTCTTGCTTTCTCCCAGCCTACTCCTTCATCACAAGACCATCGTTCGTTAAAGTAGTTGGTGGTTAGGCATACGTAGCGCATGTCCGGACTACCTCAATCGATGAACATACACTAACTACCTCATGCATTAACCTACCATGCCTGACTCATATGCGTTTTCTAACACCAGCCTTGTTTACTCCATGGTTCTAGGATATACGAGCAATGCACCGAAGATACCTATGATCGAATACTAGTAACATATAAATACTCTCTACTCTTACTAGCCGTGTCTCGCACCCATAAAGCTGGACGGAGCGAAGTGCTGCACAGTAGACTCATCGTCAGTCCGTTCAGCTAGTTATCAACTATATAATTGGCATGATTATTGTGACTTCAAAGGTAGAATAACTATCCAATAAAATATTTTTTTTCCAATCGTTTGTATATTAAAATACTGTACAAAATTAGGATCACATATCACAAACACATATATTATGATAATCACATAATTGAATAAAATCAATATGAGGAAATCAATCACAATAAGAGTACATAAATAAATGAAAAAGAATTACATAGAATATATACGCAGTGATTTTAGTATTGAAATTTCAATTCAAGATGTTTCTTCACAATTCTGACTTCTATATTCAATGACAAGACGCTTAGCTTCATCACAGACTTTTTTACCTCTTGCTTCTAATACATCTAAACATTTTGATAATGCATCCAATTGAGCATTCAATTCGTTATATTCTATTAAATGATAAATGTTTACATATAATTAGAAAATATGCAGTCAACATATAGAAATTGAACATGTATGAAATGCTTTGAGACCATGAAACCACTGGAATCTTACGTGTCTATAGGACTGTGATCGAATAAAATAGATTGACGTTTGTTTGAACACTCGGTCAGTCAGCTACAGCACAGGACTTCGTACATACCACCCACACACACCTCTTCTCTCCACAACGAACTCTATTCACAGTCCCTTATCTCACTGCACCGCTAATGCAGACGAAGCGAGTTCACGAAACGTCATTCCTGTTCTTCGGTTATTGGTTTTCGATCATAGGTGTCTTCAAAGCATTGCTCGTATATCCTGGGACACCCGAGTGAGCAACGCTGTTATTAGGAAACGGGTGCTAAGTAAGAATGGCAGACCAATAGATGAAGTGCTGAAACTTCATCAGTTGAGGTGGTTGGGACATGTGCTGCGTATGCCTAACCACCGACTGCCTCGACAAGCTTTGTTTTGTAGTGTAGGATTAGGTTGGAAGAAAGCTAAGGGCGGTCAGACCAAAACATGGCAGAAATCCATGAAGTCGCTGACAGCTGGACTGAGTTATGTTGGTAGGTGTCGACTACCTGGTTGGAGCCCGCGAGATGATAATCATCGATGGTTAGAGACCTTGAGTGACATGGTTCAAAATCGTTTGCAATGGCGACGGTGTATTTATTCTTTATGTTCTCTCAAATTGTAATCTTCTGGATTCTTCAACCACTCTAGTTTTGACTTTCTAAACTTTTCTCATTAAATCATACTTCTTGAATAATATCTTCTAATCCTAACCTTTCCGATTACTTCTAATACCTTTACTACCTCTTCTACTATTGGATTTGAATTGACAATTACATCTCTGTGCTGATGTGGTATGGCAACATGGACTGATGTACTTACGTACGAAGTTCTACGTTGCATCTGACTGACTGACATACCACGTTAGGCCAGAGAGGTCGTACTATCTATTCAAATCTCATAGTAATACAAGTAGAAGCGATAATCGAAAAGATCAGGGATCGAAGACATTCGAGTATATCCAAGTGGAATCAGTTTTGGAAAAAGAGAAGTCATGATTAATTCATATTAGAATTAGACAGACAAAGAATAGATACACTGCGCCCGAGCAGACGATTTAGAGCCTTGTCGTTCAACGTCTCTAACCACCGGTTACTATCATCCCTCGGATCCTAACCAGGTAGTTTACACCTACTAACATTGCTTAGTCCAGTTGTCAACGACTTCATGGATTTCTGTCATGTTTTCTCTAAACCCAACAAATGAATGACAAAGTTGAATAAGAATGGAGAAAGTGAACGACCCTGACAAACTACTTGAAGTAGTCTGTCGAGCCTCTCCATTGGTGGCTGATAGCAATGTGGTCTAGTTGGGTCCAGAGTTAAGCAGATTCGGGGGTTGTCATGTCAAAAGATATTCCTTATGCTTAAGGTTAGTATTTGCTAGAATGGGGCGGATATGTACGCATAGTTGCAGCAGAAGGTCGCTATTATCTGATCTTCGAGCCAATACACCATAAAATCCACCTACGTGAGCATTGAAGTCGCCAACCATTATTACTATATCAGAGCGCTAAACGTTTTGAAGAATCTTAGGAAGGTTTCAATAAAACTCATCTTTTATCTCTTCTGAGCCGCAGTCAATGGGAGCGTAGGCAGAACCAATTGAGGTAATGGCGAGTTTTCCTATCTTTAAGAGTTCTTACTATCCCGTTTAGTCAGACAGCACATAAGCAACTGTCTACTGGGATCCAGTCTAAGAGAGCTAGTTCTGCCTTATGACTTGATGCTTACCTACACCAGCGAGGGAATGGGAGACATTAGTGGGGCTTCCAGATACACCCAGAGTAAATCGAATAGCTTCTCTACCAGGACATGGCGACGTAAAACGACTGACGCCATTCGAATCCTGTGTGCACATTTCGGAGGTGCAGCATACATCGATGGCGTGAGATTCTAAAGTCCTAGCTAAGGAAGCTTGTTTTTCTATTTGGCACATAGTCCGAACATCAAAAGCAAAATTTCAAGATACCAGGAGTAACGTTTCGTGCACTTAAATCGTTTAAAGATGATAAAGGAATGTGAAAATGGTTAGTCGTGGAGGTAAGAGTTAATATGAGGCGTAGGAAGGATTCGATTGTAACTAATTTGGTCTCGTGTGTTACGTTTGAGGGCAGACGTCACTTCCCGGCTGACTATACTGTAGGTGTTTCCTGGAGGCAATTAAGCTTCTAAAAAATTCCGACTTAGCTCACTGGAACAAAACAAACTGCACCAGCATTCAAACATGACAACAATATAGAGACGAAAAATTTGATTCAGAATACAATTAGATTACCTTCTTCAAAATCAAACTGTAGTTGTAGGTTATTGTCATCTTGGAATGTGACAGTCATTTTAAAGGTGACAATAATGAATTTTTTTATATACACCAATACTGTTAAATAAATACCAACGGCTACTTTTACCACATTTCATACAGCGTATATGAAATCTGCTTTCAATTAATTGCTGCAATAGTAAAATGTACGATTCTCCGTTAAAATTCAGTGAAAGCATTAATATTATATAATAATTGAAATATTTACCACCTACATTGTAATCTAACCGACTAATTAACATAATGTGATCAATAGTCATGAGTAATTTTTCAAATCCACTACTATTTTTTGACTCTTCTATGACAAGGCACAAGGGAATCTGAACTGATGCCGAGCCCCGCACAGTGATTTGAGTTGACTCAAGGCGCAACAACACAGAAAAACCAATTAGGGAAAATATGTTTATAAGAAAAAAAACATGGAATAGTTTAAACATCTGCCCAATCGCGATCGGCTTAAAAACATATTAGATGAGGTTCCATTTAAATTTTATTCTGAAGAATTTCACTTAAAAACTACTCTAATATCCAATATCTTTTTCACGAGCTAATATAAACCAATTGATTTCCTTGCGCTCAATTCTCGTCCTTTCGGAACAGTTCCAGGTAACCCAGTATAATTCGAATAAATAATCAATCATCTTATAGGCTGTATATTCGATCACTTATTACTGTCTTCAGTCCCAACTTATTAAGACTATAATTGCACGTCAGAGTACACAGTTTTAAATAACCTACAAAGGTCTGAAAAAGTTCGTAACTACCGGCAAAATGCCCGTCCTTGATTTCGTAACCTTCGCAATTGGAAGTATGTCCAATATCCAATATCTTTTTCACGAGCTAGTATAAACCAATTTGATTGCTTCGCGCTCGATTCTTGTTCTTTCGGTACGGTTCCAGGTGTTCGGTAATTTCCAATGGATGGAGGTCTAGCCACTCGACTGTCTTATTCAAGTCAGTTGGCAGTCAGTTATGAGTTTGTATGTCTCGGGATTGGAATGAAACGTTTGTTTCAGAGCGATAGGGTTTCTGGATACTAGCACCCGTCACATTAACAAACCGGAGATCAGTTAGTTGCAATGTGGAGAGTAATAAGGGTAATAAGTATAAAATTCTAATGATAATATGAATAAAATTTCAGAACTGAGTAATACATAGATGAATTTAGTTTGTTAATTTTTTCACAGTCTTAGCAATTTTTTGTGTAGATGATGCACATTCAGGTATATCCTTTGTGTACGATAAGATGATCAGTTTATTTGTTCATGTACTTGATTTCGCTTCCGTTGATGATTTCACTTGATGTTTTTTGAAGAGGTTGCGTGGAAAACCGTTCTCTTGGAAGATAGCTATAAGATCCGGTACCTCGTTTTTTAGTGCTTCGTTTGTGCTGCTGTGTATCTTCGCTCTCTTAAACAAAGTTTGTATGCATTTGATTTTATGAGTTCTTGAGTTGTTGCTATCGTAGTTGAGAATTAGGTCTGTGTGTGTTGGCTCCCGAAATACTTGATTCTCCAGTTTTTATGAGTTAGTTCTGGTGGTCAGTATATCCAGGAACGGTAGACTGTGAACTTTATGTCAAGGAAGACGTTGTTGATCCGATTGTAGATATTCTCGAGCTCGTTCCTTCTGATAATTTCGAATGTGTCGTCTATATATTGAACCCACAATTTTGGCTTGATCACTGGTAAAATCGACATTTCTAGTCCCTGCATTACAGCTTCCGCGATGAGTCCTGATATTAATGATCCCACTGGCATTCCTTTTGTTTGTTCGTAGACTCTATCGTTGAATTGAAAATATGTTGTTAAGCATAAATCGACGAGTTCCAGTAGACTTTGGCTATGAAGATTCACGGAGTTTTCAATCACGAAGATCCCATATACTCTTGGCGGAAACGTTTTTGTTCTGTAGTGGTGATCTTAGTCAACCGATTATCGCACTAAGATTGGTAAGCCACGACATTTCGAATACTTGCCACAACATCTGCGGACGTCTTTTCACAAGCAAAGGCTATTACGGTTAGTCTGCTATTAATCTATCCCCTCATATTGCAATAATAATAATAATATATTTGGACATGTATTATACTTGTAAAAATGTTACGAAATGGTGGATAGCTATAAGAATACTGGTAATGTAATAGACTCCAAGCTTCTGGTCATTTCATTTTTACCTGTCCCCTGTTCGTCACCCCAGGTTGCTCGTTTATTTTACGTGCACGATTTTCTCACTAATGCAAGTAACCTAGTGGCCACAGGTACCTAAGTTTTTATCATATCTTCTAGTAGCCGCAAATTTCAAGCTATAACGCTTTGACTACGGGCTGCGAATGACTGTCATTCCTACCTACGGTACACGATAGTTAACGATCAACCTGAATAATCGATGACAGTATCTGTGAACATTCATCCCTGCTGATGTTCCCATAGCTGTACTCGGTATCGGTTCTCTGCAGCAGTATAAATCGATATTCGATTCACGTAGGCTGCAATTAGTTGATACACCGTCAAATATTAGATCCAGGGGTCTGGACACTCCAACAAATGCGTACTAAGCCACTGGTGTAATTTTTACATGATTATTTATTTCATGTTAAATTTGATATATTCCCCAATGTAACTAAATTGAGGAGATTCTATTAGTGATTAATTATGTGGTAAGCCACATCGTCACCTGCGGACCCTCAGTCACGGTAAAACCTCGTCAACTGGCACTGGACAAATTAACTTTCGCTAAACGTGAGTTTGACAGTTTACTTGCTATATCCATTATTTCGTCTTCCTCACAGTCCTTGAGCATCCCCTCTCCGCTCTGTCCATTAAAAAGATGGCATTAGTTGGAGACCAGTGACGGAGAGCAGTAACAGCAGACATTAAATATCCTGCCTCCGAGGCTGTATACGGCACGACATTGCATCTGCCACAGTAATTCTTCCCACCACAGAGAAGCCATTTTATGTAAATCAGATAACGTACAGAGACTCTCTATGTACATGCGAATACTGCCTCTGGTGTTAGCTGGAATACACCATCAGTAGGTTGCTTCCCTTCACGAGTTATTACCCTGTTCACATGTTTTCATACGAGCAGTTTCGGTAAGCAACCCTTTGCAACAGCCTTACGAAGGACCTTATCACGTGATCTTTCGTCACGAAAATTGTAGAATCCTTTTTGAATGTTTTGTTTTTTGGAAAATCCCTCCATGTTTACATATTTTTGTTATGACGTGACGGACTCTTTCTGTTGACATTTTTGGTATTTTATTTGATTCCAGTTTGAGATTTTATCATTGTATATTGTTATTATTTCTATATTTTGTACTTATATTGAAGTTTTTGTGTTTGCTTCTGAACTGTATATATGTTGTTTAAATTTGATCTTTAATATGGCTACAGCCATATTTGGATTGATACAGTGGCGGTTGGACTTAACGTCACTTATTCATCTTTGTCTTGGATACTCTTCGGAGTAATTGTAACCTGGAAGGTGCATCAATTCCAGGTATTGCTTTGTATTTCCATCTTTTAATATAATACAGACCGTTTTCTCCTAGAATTGTTGTGTTTTCTGGACTTTGAATTGGGAGATACGCGTTCGGATTGCACTTATTGGAAACCATTTGAACCGCTACGGTAGAAATCCATTTACAAAGGGACCTTCAAAGATGATGGACACAGTCAGCAATCATCGTCTCAATCCATCACACGTCAGCGACAGTGCCCTACCTGATACTTCGAGATTCTATGTTAGATCCGTCCAACTCAGTAGCGGGACCCCTATGTCTCCTTCGGTCGCCACTCTGGATAGAGCAGAGACCTCATTCTCACGTCCCAGTCAACAGCACGTGTCATCAGCGCTTTCTATGGGTGAGTCTTCATTCTCACTTCCTGAGCAGCAGACCGCTACTCCCTTGAAGTCTCAGGCTCTCAACCACGAGGTACAAACGAGACTACGGTCTCACGTTCCGGTAGCCAGGAATGTCTACCAACACGCTTTCGCGACTAGCCTCAGTAAGCAACGTATAGTGTTTGGAATTATACTCCTTACTATATGTTTGTCATACCTTTTCCTTTTTCTCTGACTTTTTCATCCTGAGCTTACGCCTCCGACCATCGCATTTCTGGTACCATCGACCTCGTTCAATCTTGACGAAAGGTGGACTTATCACCGACACTTTTGTCAGTGCACTCAGTCGGTATTCCGGTTCCGACTAAATCTGGCATACGTTTGGCCCCAAACCTGATTATAATGGTCTTTATAATGGTGTTTAGCGTTTTATGGTCTAGACCCCTACGAACACAATCTTCAGATCTTGGATACAAACCACTCTGATGTGGTATGCCGACTGGAGCAGCAAATATAGCACGTTACCCCTGGTACCGTTCTCCACAGACCTTCGGTGACAACTCGTGCATCATGGATCGCTTCCTGTTCGTCAACCCTTCGGTCCAACAGTCGCACGATTATCCATCAGTTTCCCGAACGAAGCCGCTGCGTAACAAAATTGCAAACCATTTCTAGTGGAGGGCTGCTGTAGTTAACCCACTTTTATGAAGAGAACGTGACTGGTTTAAAAGAAAAATTCATTGTTGTAAGCAATTGTACCAGTGATTGTTTAACTTTTGGGCACTAACTTACGTTTGTTAGTCAACCGAAACTCCACACACTGCAAGTGTTTGAACAAACCCATTGAGATTTAGTTGCTGTATTGCCTCAGTCAACCTGTCTTTCTGGGCTCTAGTAATTGAGTGGGGTTAGTAAATCCCACTAATCACGCATCTTGTGCCATTTATTTTGGATAGATACCGGTATGATTTTGTGACATCCGTTAGTTGGGTACTGTCTTATGTTACGGCTTTTAATAGGGCTTTCCCCTTTCCGTTTTTGGGTACCTTCTCGCATCGTAAGAGTGTCATGACCTGAAAGCAAATGTCATCGTCTGCAACGTCAGGGGATGGCCTTGTTTCAGTTAGGGTTCGGAACTTCAAAACCAACCGAAAGCAGGCATACGTGGCCAATTATATTGAAAAGGAGATCACTCGTGGTTTCTTAAGCAACAGTGATCAAAAAACAATTTATGAGATATCATCATCCAACTGTCCTTTATCAAAGACTGGACTGCTTCCCAATAAGCTACCGTCCAACACTAGAACATTAAGTATAACTAGTACGTTTTTTAACTTCTACGTCCCTGATTTGTATCGTTTTGGGATCCTTTTCCAACGCTCACTTAACTCTCCTCACTGTTAACAGACACTAAGAAGTTGACAACAACCGGTAGTTTTGTCGGCGTATTGGTTCGTGTCGCGGCTACCTTTGTAGCCAGTTTGGCCTGTTTTTTTATAAACCCATTTTCATGCTCGAAGAGGATTTCGAGGATAATGCCATTGCTCTCCTTTACAATGTGAAGGATGACTGACCTGCCAATGTGATCAGTCTTTGGTTCAGGGGATGATGTTATTGTGGCTGTCATTTCCATAAAGACATCTGGTCTCATCTTCTGCATAACTTCTAATTATTCGTCAGATTTCACTAAAGCAAAGATCACCACCGTGTTGCGTATACTGTGATATCCTGAATGATTAGTGACGACAGGTGATTAGAGTGCTCTTTCTGCTAAAGAATGATATGCAACCCTACCAGATTTCCCGTGCGCTTTTTGGCTGCCGCCTCTTAAAGTACAGGGTGCTGATTTACTGAACTTTCGTACTTTATGAACCTCTTGGCGATCAGTGTACTCTCATTTACTATTGAGATTGTTAGGATATCCGCACATCCGCTTAAGTATCGGTAGAGCAGGCATCAGCTGAGCAAGCTCACTTGAAATAAACTGCC